GAGCGAACAACTTAGAGACAACACCCTGCTCAGGTGGTTGTGCCAGTGTGATCCCTTGTCTTCCATCACCTGCTTTTCTCCTCTTAGTAGCATTACAAGATGTGCCAGTGGTTCCTTGCTGGTGCTGGAAGGGAAAGGAAGAGCAGCTTTTTCTGGGACTGTCTGTAGAGATGCACAGGCACAGTGGGGTTGTGATGCCACCCTTGCTTCAGCAGTTCCCTCTAGTGCTGAGTCTGTACGTGCTGCTCAGGTGGTGCTGTGTTGTCCCAGTTCTGCTGCCTATCTCAGAAGGGAGACTGACAGCTCTTACCTTAAAGTGAGTGTCCAGCTATCCCACTTGAAATGCTGGAGAGAGCAGCTGTGGAGCAGAAAGCCAAAAGCTCAGGGAAGGAAAGAGGAAAGGGACACAAAAAGAGTGTGACCCACTGAAAGAAAAGTGGGAAAGTACTTGATTAGGGACTACAGCATCACAAAGAAAGAGGCTGTAGTCTCCAAGGAGGGCTGTTGTGGAGGGGTGCTGCATACCTGCATTCCTCCTCTGTTGCTTATTTTTCTTTGCTGCTGCAGTTCCGAAAGTCTCAAGAGTAGTCTTGTGTTCTCTTACTGACCTCCACCTCTGCCACTGCTCCTGAATTGGTATTTACTGTCTAGTGTAAGAGCTCAAACTTCTGTAGTCACATGTCTACCCTGGGAAGGACTTTCCAGAACAGAGAGGAGTTCTTAAAAAATAAAAAAATTAGATACTGGTTGTCTTTCCATGGGCTGGTCCACCAGTTTGGTAAAGGACACACTTAAAAATCAGAGAGAAGCCTTTAGCTGTAGATCAGGTGCCTCTTAGTAAATGAATGGAAATTTAAGAGTCTGATGACTATCCCCAAGATTACTTTGGTCAATGACTTATTTAAAAAAATCATGCTGCTGAAAATTTCCAATTTGACTGCTTTATCTATTATCCTGGTTAAAATTTAACTGGATTAAGGAGCTAGTTAGTACCTGATAGCAGATCTCTAAGAAGTCTCAAAGTGCTGGTGGAAGTGTTGTAGACTGTTCTTCTAGAAAAGGACAAAGTGCACCCAGTAAGAAGTAGTGTTGGTTAGTGGAATTATTCCTCTGCCCTCCATGGTACAGCATGTGCCTGTGGGAGATGAATACTGTGAGAGGTGACTGGAGAGGATTTCCTCCTGTGCTTGTGCTTGTGCTGATCACAGCTGAGGGGCTGCTCCCTGTCAGAGCAGATCAGTGACCTGCACCTGCAGTGTCAGGTGCTGCAGTGACATCACTCCAGGCAGCAGTTTGGGATGGCCCTTTTTAGAGCAACCACCAGCCTGAGTGTGTGGATGTAATCTAAGGAAGTTTAGGAATCTGGGATCTAAGGCAGCAGCAAGGAGCTGAAGGTAGAAAGTGACAAGGACAGCTCTTGGAGGTCTGTGCTAATCATCTTGCTCAGAGGGTGGCTTGGCTCACACTCTGTATGTAGGGGTGTAGACGGAGCATGCTGTGATCTTGTAGGTACTCCATGGAGCAGCTTGGCCCTTTTAACCTCCTGAACTGCAGAATGATCCACAGGAACGTCTTGTTGGTGATCCCTTAGAGAGCAGTGTGCTGCCCTGCCTCCCAAACAATGCCCTTGTGTGATGCTCATGCTGCATGCCACCCAAATGAGATGTGACAGTCTCCTGCTGAAGCCCCTGGAAGACTTGCTGGCAGTTGGTTGGTGCAGGACATTCCCAGTGTTCCTGCAATAAGTGGGGTTTTGTCCGTGGCATCACGAGGCTGCAGCAATTGTTCTGAAGCAACTGGTGTGTTTGCATGTGGGTGCAGCAGGGTCTGCCAGGGCACCCCGGTGCCTTCTGTGAGCACATGCTGTCCTTAGCTGACCTGAGTTAGTGCTGCTGCCAAAGGCAAAGATGCTCAGCCCTTCTGACAATTCATGGGCTTGTAGCAAAGTGCTGTCCTCTGACTGCAACCAACAGATAGCTACTACTCTGTGATACTTAATAACCTTTTATTTTAATGCCAATTATGTAAACTTGGGTGTCTTGTGTCTTTCAGATTCCTCTTGTGGCACTTCCAGAATAAGCTGTAAAACCGAAGGCATTGCAGTGACTATCGGGAGTTAACCTTTCTTTTAATGACCTAAGTTTAGACATCTAGGTCTAAAAATGCTTGTAGAGATGTTTAAAACAGGGTTTGACATTTGTGACCACTATGGGGTTATTTAAGAAAAAACAAAATAAACAAAAACAATTAAACCTCTTGCATCTAACACTTGAATGGGGCTAATCAGGGGTCATTTCATGGAATTACAAAATGATTTGGGTTGGAACAGACATTAAAGATCATCTGGTTCCAGCCCCACCTGCCATGGGCATGGATGTCATTGAGTAGGTCAGGTTGCTCAGGACCCCACCCTAACCTGGCTGTGAACATTTCCAGGGATGGGGCAGCCACAGTCTCTCTGACAAAACTCTCTGGCCTTTTAAAGAAGCCTTTGTAGGAATTCTAGGACTTCAGAAATAAAACTGTAAGTAGAACAGAATTTTAGATGGTCCTAGAATTTTCCATATTTTTTTACCTGTCATTGACTCTGTGGAATAGAAATGGGAATAGAAATGTTATGACTAAAAGGAAATAGGGTTGGCCAAGGATCAAAAGAAAAGCTAAATTAAAACCCCCTCAAGTAACTGGCTTTACCATTTCAGTGCTATCCCTTTCATTTCTCTGAGAGCTGAGCTTGGGTGGTAGAGGAGATGGAATAAAGTCTGTAAGGTCGAGACAAAGAGAACTGTTTTGTGTCTTTGTATTAAATGTTAACATTGTTAAATAAACTAAGATTTTTGTATCTCACAACCAGCTCACTGTTCTCCCTCCTTTACTTCAGCAAGCATCTTGAACTCTTGAGTTTCAGAACTCTCTTCTGTAACAAAAAAAATCTTCAGTGAAGCCAAAGCCATTTTCATCATTTACCTGGATGCGAGGATAAAAGGGCAGAGCACTTGCAGAGTATGCCTCTGACAGAGTTAGCCAGACACATTCCAAACTTAGGAACCCAGCTTTAGATTGCCAAGGTGTTGGTCCTGCTGGAGTTTTTCCTGTTTCGTCTCTCTGTGGGGTGGTGATTTTTTAACCATTGGAAAAAAATCAGCAAATTTGGGTTGTTTCTCTTTTCCTCCAGTATTGAAATGAAAGTCTGGACCAAACTTCTTCCATTTTCTTTTGCTTTGAAGTTGACCTGTGATTTTTTGGGGTGGGGGGTGAGAGTGAGGTATTGCTGTGTATGTGAACAGTTTACTGGCCCTACATTCTGCTTACACGTTAGGATGTGATTTGGTTCCAAGGTACATGCTAATTATAACCACTCTTTGTTGAATATTCGTTAGGAATGCCAGTCAAATTAGGGATGTCTTAACAGTGCTGTGAACCACTGACGTAGCTGAATAAATGAGGTATTCAGCATGTTATGCAACAAGACATTCTACAGGAATGTCTTCACCAGCCCTTTTGTATACATACAAACTTATTCATGTGAGTGTGTGAGTGTTATTGTCATGGATTCGGAGTTACAAAGAAGGATACAGAGTTGATTTTTGCACTGGCGTTTGGAGAATCTTGGCATGGTGAGATTTTGGGACAGGTAAAACTCTTAGCGACACTGTAATTGAGGCAGAGGGTTCATTGAATTCTAAGTCACCATCCACTGTTGAAGCAGACTGGTGGGGGTTTTTTAGTGTGTGAAAATCTGAGTTGGAATGTGGTGTGTCTGTTGTTTTCCATGTTAAATGGCAGCCTGTTGCATACCAGGTGGGCAGATGGGCAAAGTTAACTCCAGAGCAGCTGGACTGTTCACAGCTCCTCTCAGCACTCACTACATCCAGAAGGAGAATTTGTGCTGTACTAATGTGGAGCTCCAGGAGCAGATATCTCGTAATGCTTCCAGTCAAATCAATGGAGCAAGATGATTGAGGTGAGGTGGAAACAAACCTGGATGAATGCTGAAGGTAGCATTGAGAAGTGCCTTGTGTGGGTTGACAAGTTTTATTTTCAATACAACTTTTTGTGTGTAAGTGTTCTGGACTTCATAAGCATTTGTTAGCTCAAATGTAAAATACTCCTTTTTGCCTGCACTACCAAAACCAGGTACATTCTTCAGTTCCTAGTTTAGGTTTCTTTTTCATTATTTCTGCTACTTTTGTTGTTTTTCTTTTGTTTTGCATTAATTTAGTCAATTTAAGGCTTGTCTAATTCCTAGTGATTTTTTAAAAAATTATATTCTAATGCCTGTAAATACAGCAACTACTTATTAATAACCCAGATATGTACCAATTTCTTTCTTTTAAACTATATGTTATATGCCAAAATAAACAAGGCAGACATGGAGAAGTCAGATCTGATTTGACCTCTTCACTTTATGGACTTTGCTTTTGCAGGCCATCAAAAATGAAGAGGGAGTAGGGCCTCTAATCTCACAAATCTTGGCTGCCTGTAGGTTTGTATATCTGTTTTCTCTTTTTTTAATGTCTATTTTTATGCTCTGAGGTTTATTTTTGAGACCTTTATCCTGTGGGCTCCATGGCTTTAGAGAAGACATCAAATAATGTAGATTTTGAAAGACTTGTTTCCATAAGAAATGAGATGAAAAAGTGTGGGGGGGAGGGAAGTTATTAGGTATGGATCACTTTAAAAGGAGGTAAAATAGATAAAAAGCAGTAAGGCAAGAAGGGGAAGGTAGAAACCCCCAAAATGATCTGTTTTAGAAGCAGAATGTATAAAAATATGTATTTTTTCATAGGATCACATATTTTCAGGGTCAGTGTGCTGGTGTATGGTCCTTGCTAGGGAGAGTTTTAACAAGGCCAATTTTGCTTTGGTAGATCTATTCACACTGGTTGAAGAGCTGCTGAATGATAACCCAGCAGTTCTAGTTCTCTTCAGCATATTAGCAGGCTAATTTTTTTTTATTATTAATAACTGAATACAGGGTCATAGATAGGACTCTTGTATGTAAAGCACGTTCATATAATTGATTTAATTTAGTAATACAATCTTACACGTACCTTGGAAAAATAAAACAAGAAAAGATTTTATCGCAACAAGGAAGAAATTACATGGAAATATTTACTTCCCAAACCCCTGCAAAAAAGATGGCTGACAATAGTAGCTGTTAAAGACTTCATCAGTTTACTGTGAAAAACCCCCCCATCTGATTTCCTTTCTCTTAAAATACAGTTTCTAAGGTGACTTGCATGATGAGGTAAGGGACATGATACTGAGATCTTTGTAGAATTTGTTAACCATCTCCTTTCAAACCAAGTAAACATAAAAAGAAAAACTGAATTTACTCTTAAATTTGAGAAATATATTTTGGCATGTTTAAAAATTAAGCTGCAGCCAGAAGTAGAAACCTTGTGCTAGGAACAGAGCTTCAGAGGGTAGTACCCATCAGTGGTGTTTGTCTCAGCTGAGGCTATAAAGGGCATGCTTGTGTATGTAGCATTCCTGTAGTTTTTATCTCTGTTATTTATTCTCCTGCACTGCAGATTCATTTGTTTTTTAAAGAAGTTGGTAAGAGCTACATAAAATCAAGGACAAATTGAGTACTGCATGATTCATCCCTATATACTGTGTCTATGTGAAGAGGGAGCAGTAATTGATGATAAAAAGTCGAGGTTTTTGCCTAAAATACCATTTGATGTGTGTGTCTACAGAATTTTATGGTATTTTATTACTGCTTTTTTCCAACCAAGGTAAACATTCAACAGTCTCCAATGGGACAGGATGTGACAGAGCCTTCCTGGAAGGAAGTGAGGGGTTACTTACCTGCACTCAGGTATTAAAATCATCATTATTAAAAGAATGTTGGTCATACAGGCTGTAATTTTGGTGTAGGGTGCCTCTAGAACAGAGCTGTGGAGACTCTTCTAGGGAGTAGTGTAGCCTTTTCTCCTCTCAGAGGTAGGTATATGGCAAGCAGGAATATGATGATGTCAGTATAAAAAATCTTCAGCTCCCTTTTTGCAGGTGCCTTCAGTGGGAAGAAATCCAATAAAATCAAACCTTGAAAGGATGGGGTATTTCTCTAAAATTAGTTTTGCATGCTAATAAAGGTCAGCAAATGGCACTTATGGCTAAAGTGACAAATTTGTGTTTTAACAGTCCTTCATATTCATATGGCTTAACTGAAAATGGTGGCAGATATTCCCAAAATCCCAATACTCATTTACAAAATAATTATTTTAATACAAAGTGGTAAGTCAAATATTTCAAACGTGAAATCTGAAAATACAGCATAAAGATGGCACGGAAGTCTGTCAACAGTTCTCTGAAAGCTTTATGTCTGCAGAGGTTGGAAATATTTTTTAATGTAGTGCTCCCAAATTTCAGGATTTGATGTCTCAAGATTTCCGAGGAAAGATTTCATCCCATATAAAAACCACAAGTATTGTACCTGAAATGAGAGGTTACAGAAAGGACCTTTATTTAAATATGTTTGAGAAGGACACAGTACTGGTATGGAAAATAAACACTGCTTTCAAGTATTTGAGTCTCTAACACAATACAGCAGTACCTTTTGCAAAGGATGCTTCAACAGGCCATGCAAGTGCTCCCTGTGAGATAATAATCTTGTTTTTCATAGTTCATGCTTTGATCTGTGTAAGCCAAGCCAAAGGCAGAGAGTTTGTCTGAGTGAAGCCAACACCTTCCTGATCAGGGCTGCTTTCTTTGTGGCTGGATGTGTAAATGACTGAACCAGCAGCTTAACCTCCATCCCTCACCTGGGTTTGTTAGCTGTGCCTGTTTTCATGGTATGGGATAGTGGGTGTTTTTTTGAACATCATTCTGATTTAGGGTTTATTTTGAAGCTGAAAAAATGGTAATTAGAGATAGTGTATGATTCTCATAAAGAAACTACTACCTCAAGTTGCTAGGGACCCACAGGGATCACTGAGTCCAAAGGCCATCCAGATACACTTTATTTCCCACAGTAAAAAAAATCAGATTATTCTTTCAGAAACAAAGAGGATCCTGTTTGATGGTGTTGCCCACACATAAGCTTGTATTTATGAAACTTCTCAGATCACAAAAAAAGCTTATTAAAAGGGATTCTGTTTAGGAATCAGTGCAGGACTTTGCCTATGCTGGATGGGTTAGTGAGACTTTCCCTGGCTGAGTCCCAAAAATCTCCATGCTGGAGACTGTAGCATTTCTCCAGGAAATGAATTTCAGGGTTGCTGCACCCTTCCTCCTGAATGTTTTCCTGGAGTCGAAGCTGAATTTCCCATGCCCCAGTTTGTGGCCTTGCTGTTACTTGTTACTAAAAAGAACAGTTAATCTCTGTTATCCTTGAACTACTCTTGAAATAATGCTTGATTGTGCTTAAAACACACTTCCATTTTAATTTTGCAGCCCATACAAGTCTGGTTCCCTCAGCCTGTCCCCTTAGATCATGTACTCTAGGCCTTTCATTGTCTCTGGTCCTCCACTGCCTGGATCCTGTTTTTTGACACTTTGCCCTCGAACTGGGGGACTCCAAACCACCCATGTTCCAGATGTCACCTCACAGGCATTGTGTAGAAGGAGGCAATAATCACAGAATCAATTTATTCGGAAAAGCCCTGTGAGACCACAGAGTCCAACCTGTGACCGAACACCACCATGGCAACAGACCATGGCACTGAGTGCCACATCCAATCGTTCCTTGAACACCTCCAGGAGCAGTGACTCCACCACTTCCCCAGGCAGATCTTTCCAATATCTAATCACACTTTCAGTGAAGAAATTCTTCCTAATGTCCAACCTAAGCCTCCCCTGGCACAGCTTATGTCTCCTTATCCCATCACTGGTTGCCTGAGAGAAGAGACTGACACCTCCTCTACCCCAGCTGCAGCCTCCTTTCGGGTATGTGTGGAGAATGATAGAGTCCTCCCTGAGCCTCTTCTTTCTCCAGGCTAAACAACCCCAGCTCCCCCAGACACTCCTCACAGGACTCATGCTCCAGCTCTTTTGCCCTTCTCAGGACCCACTCCAGCACCTCAACGTCCTTCTTGAACTGAGGGGCGCAGAACTGGACACAGGACTTGAGGTGTGGCCTCACCAGTGCTTGAGTACAGGGGGACAGTCATTTTGCTGGTCCTGGTGGCCACACTATTGTTGATGCAGGCCAGGTGCCATTGACCTTCTTGGCCACCTGAACACACACTGGCTCATATTCAGCTGCTGTCAACCAGCACCCCCAGTTCCCTTTCTGCTGGGCCACTTTCCAACCACTCTGACCAAAGCCTGTAGCCCTGCATGGAGTTGTTATGGCCAAAGCACAGGACCCAGTACTTGGTCTTGTTGAATCTCATGTTGTTGGTCTCAGCCCACCTCTGCAGCCTGTGGAGAGCCCTCTGCAGAAGTGCTGATCCCAAACTACTGAATCAAATCAATGTGCTTTGTCTTGGAGAGACACCAAACTGTTGTGGACAAACATCAATTCAGGTCACTGTTAAACATACTGGGGCGTATGAACTCCCAGTACTGACACCAGCATACTCTGCGTGGTATTGGCCACCAGCCCGTGTCAACCCATTGATTGTGCCAGTTTGAGGTCAGTGGTTTAGCCAATCTTTATTCCATCTAACAGTCTTTTTGCGTGACCCCACTTTGAACCAAGAACACTGTGGGAGGTGGTATTGAAAACCTTACTGAAGTGAAGGTACACTACATCCCTGCTCCTTTGTCATTCCCAACACACTCATCACAGAAGGCCACCAAGTTAGTCAAGCATGGATTACCCTCATTAAGTCTGTGCTGATTGTTCCTGTGTTTGTGTGTTCTACATGGTTGGAAATGGATTCCAAGACTAGATACTCCACCATTTTCCTGCTGGCTGAAGTGATACCAACTAGTTTACAGTTCCCTGGCTTCCCTCTCCTCCTTCTTAAAAGCAGGCATAGTATTAGAACATTATCCATTGGCAGGAACCTCCTCCAACTGCTCTAACTCCTCATAAATTAAATTCCAACATTAGCCAACTCTACCTTCATTTCTTGGTGAATCCCACTAGAGTCAATGGGTTCACAATCACATATGTTGTTCCTATTTATTGTTCCCTTTCCAAAACCTTACTGATTTACACAGAGGTTTGGGAGCAAATTTTGATTGGGAAGGCTGAGTGGTACCTCAGCCTGTTCCATGCCACGCATCACTAGGTTGTCTCACCCATCCACCAATGGACCTGCATTTTCTCTGGACTTTTTATTTGTGATTAGTATATTTGTAACTCTGCATGTCCCTCCTCTGAGTTCCAGTAGAGATCTAACCTTCCTGTCTTTGTTTCCAAGTTGAGGAAAGCTCTTATACTCCTTTGCTGTCTTTCCCAGTTTCAACCTCTTACATGTTCTCCTTTATTGTAGGGAATCTCTTTCTCTAGCCAACAGGGAAAGGCTTTTTATACAAATTCCCAGTCTAACACCATGTGACAGATTCCTTCTGCACATCTAAATCTATTACTGAGCTCTCATGAGCTTTTTCTAAAAATCACCTTTTCCCATTTATAGCAGTTTCCAAGGAAATTACTACTGACTTAGCAATTCCCTAAATAAGCAGAATTTTGTTTTGAATCCCGAAGTCTGGACAGCTCTGCTATTTACCTTCCCAGTCCTCCTCTGCACCCTGAACTCTTGGGAGGACTACAACCCAACTGGCCACATTCAGGACCCATTCTTCTCTGTAGGCAGGTCAAGTTCAGCATTACTACTCACTGGCTGTTTAGGATTTGAATTACACATAATTACTGTCAGTTTCTAGGACTTTCAGGGATTGCATCAACTCATTGCATAAGAGTTTTTGCTCTGTCAGATGATGTCTATGGAGCTGAAAACCCCTATGAGGACCAGGGCCTGGGAATAGGGGTAGTTTGTTTTCCAGTTGTTTGTTGAAAACCTCCTTTGCTTCCAAGTCCCTGAAATACTGAACACTTCACTGCACACAGACTTGGGATTCTTGTTTCTTTGCTTAAGTGTCCTGAACTTGCTGGCAGCCTCAGAATAGCCTCTCCTCTGAGCAGAAAGGTCAAAGTCTCACCTGTTGCCTTTTCCCTTGCTTACCTCCTCCATTTACATCTACTGCTAAGTGACTGTTCTGGCACGTATTTTCTCAGGAATAGTATTAGTTTTTCTGGTAAAACTGATCTAAAGAAGGGGGCCTTGATTCTGGTTTTATAATGTTAGAAACGTAGCAGGAGGCTAGGCCAGGCTGGATGGCTTTGAGCATCTTGGTCCAGTGGAAGGTGTCCCTGCCCCTAGCAGGGGGGTTGGAACGGGATGGTCTTTAATGCCCCTCACTCTACAATACAATTCCATTATATGCTAAGCTGGCACCTGTCCACGAAAGAGCATTTCATTTTATTGACCTCATGACTATCTTGTCACCAACTCTTCCATTCATAGCTGCCATCTCCCTCCTACTGAAAGAGCAGCATTAGCTCAGTCCCCCATCATTACTGATGGTATAATCATGCCTGGACAACTAACATGAATTCCTTTGGCAGTAAAACACAAACCATCTTTGTTCTACTGGTACTTACTGAGTCTATGTTCACAGTGCAGAACTTAGGCCTGTCTGTGCTAAGTCTAACACTTGCTGGCATCTGTGCTTATTGCAGGAATCCAGACTTTAATGCTGCTGGAGTATCACCTTCACCAGAACATCGGTGAAGCCATTTTGAAAAACGAGTAATTAACTACAGTTTTGAGGTTAAATTCCTTAAAGACCACAAACCACCAGTAGATTTTTTTTATCCTAAAAGAAAACTTCAATTTCATCCTTGTCTTGTGAAAGTGATAATCAATCTTGCTCTTCTTCCAAGTGTCCTATCTAAGAACATTGTTTATGATGTGCTTACAGCCAGATCAGGATTCAGTTGTATTCTGAACTCTCTCCATATCCTTGCCCTCATGGATTTTTGCCACAGCCATAAATGAGAATATATTGCACTCTCCACTGGCTATTTTAAGTTTCATTATATGTTCGTCCAAGGTATTACTGTGAGGTAGTTATTACAGAAAAACACAAAAAAAACCCTTCTAAAAGAATTTCCCAAAGTAAGAACAAAGTAATTTAACCAGCTGAGAGGCTGATGCTGGAAGAAGTAAGACATCAGATTAGCCTAACATTGTGACTCTGCCAATTTCTAGGAAGTTTGAAACAGCATTTCTGCTGACAAATGGATTCTGAAAGTAATTTTTACAATTGAATTTAAAATATCCCTTCCCTCATCATCTACTTTCATGATTCTGTTTAGAGGTTCTTTCTACAAGAATTTATCATCATAACAGTTCATTTTCCTAGACACCTCATCATTTTGTCCAATCACGACAGAAAAAATTCTATTCCTATTATTTTCTTATTTTCAAAAAGTGTCAGAAAAAATTCACTTAATGTTAAAATTTGTAGATTTGCACTCCTGTATTCATCAAGTCAGTTTTCAAATACAATCTCCTCTATACTTGTACCTCAGACATTACATTTGTTTTGAACTCTTGAATTATAAGGTCTCTTAAATATATCCATGAAACATCCTTATTCTGTAATGAGATATTTTGGCACCAATAGATTACTCAGTCCTTCAGGTGATCTACAGACCTGAGATCTGCCACTAAATGTTGGCTACAGTAGTGACACTGTGCAAGAGGGATGTGTTCTGAGTATTCACATCTTTACAACTGCTCAGTCTGGAGGAGTTCCTTTCCCTCATAAATCAAGAGACACCATTCAATGTATTCTGTGTGTATATTCTAGATGTTAACTAATGACAAACCACTGTTTATGAATTTTCATAGAAAGGTAACATTGCTTCATAACCACATTCTAAGGTCCTCAAGCCATGGGTCCATTTCACTTAAAAACTGTTGATTTTCTTACATCAAAAATCACCTGGAGGTTAGCTGCTATTCTGCAGGACACATCTTGGCATGTACATAAAACATGGGGTTTCAGAATGTCTCCTGTTTCTTTAAATTACTTGCCAAAAGATTAAATCTCATATACTTACAACTTGGAAGATCTTTAAATGTTATGAGGTTGAAATCAGTTAATGAAAGCTAAAACTGAATTTTGAGAAATATTACGTGGTCTGTCAGGACCCGAGCAAATCTGATCAGCTTTGCCCATGACATTTCATTAATTACTCAATGAACACTTATCAAGCTTACTCTATTCAGTCATCCTGTTTAGAGATCTAATTCAACAAGATTGTATTAAAGTGAATTTTAGTTAGCTTTAAACTTCTGTCTTTGTTTTTGGCTGACTGAGAGTCAAGGCAAGTAGAACATGCACAGACATGAACTCAAGAAAAGGAAGTTTTTGGTCATAACAGGATCCTTTTCCAGTGTTTCCTGTGTATATCTTACATGCTGTTCTGCCTTCATCACTGTTGTACCTTCTAATAGGATTAACAGTCATGAAAGAACCAGGATTAGCAGCCTGCTTCTTTATATACCCTAAGCAGAAGGCTCAAGATTTGTAGGGACCAACTGTAAACAAACAACAGCATGAAGTACCACATGGAACATGTTCATCTGCACACAGCTAGAAGTCAAAATCAATAGCTTCCAAATTAAAACCATAATTTAAGTTAGGAAAAACCTAGTTGGTAACACTTCTTATTTTTAAACTAAGAGCAGTCAGTGTCCAACATTGACTAGGGGAAAAACACAGAATGAGAACTGCAAAGTTCAGACACTATGGGGATAAAAAAAGTGGTAATTGAGAAAGCATATTTAAGGCACTTGTCCCAATACCTGTGGGTCGTTGTTTTTTTTTTTAAATTTTAAATTTATCATCCCTATGTACCGCTAAACTGTCACAAAACAAGACAGACACTGTGTGGTAACCAGTATGTTTCTCTTTTTGAAGGTAATCAGGCTGATATTTACTTTCAGGTAAGGACCACATGATCTTTAAAGGTCCTTCCCAATCCAGGTAATTCTATAATTCACTAAACAGTGCTGCAGGCACTCTACACAGAGCATTAAAAAATGTTAAAAATACACAGCCTGCATTTGCAAAATGGAACCACGATTCTGAATGATTTCAACACATAGATTATAATTTACTATTTTCTGGATTTATTTAATGCAAAAGTCAAACACTCTCAAACAAAGAACACATATTCCTTGATTTATGAACCATGTATTAAATAACACTTTCTCAAACATATAAAGTATTAAGAACTTACCTAAGCATGGTGCTAGCCAATACACTAGAGAGTAACTCAAAAATTTGTTATAGAAACAATCTGCATGTAATGAAAACGCCAGTGCTGGGTTAAATATTGCTCCTGTGAGATTTCCACCTGCAATAAGATGTAAACAGCATGAAATTAAACCATGTTTTTAAATATTTACTTTAAATTCAAATGCACCACACTACAAGAAATCTACACCCCACAATAAAATGAATTACCAGAAACAGTTTGAACAGGTCTACTGAAGCTCTTCACCTGATGACTCAGTAAACAGTTTAACTGTTTTCTCAAAGGCTTTAAAGCATGGGAAGGGTAAGCTATAACTTCCTTTATCTCTTTCTAGCAAATATTCTTTAAAGAGATAGCTCTGGCTAATGCTGAATGTTTCTATTGATAAAACTAGAAGCTATTTCTGTATCATGATTTTAGAGGAGACAGAAATTACATAAGCCATTACATTATAGCCTCGTGTCACATGAAACACATATGCAAGATAAAAGAAAAAAACTGTCAAGTAGTGTTCTTGCTAAGCTGACCTCTATACTTTCTTACAAGAATACTAATATTATTATACCAATGTACAGAATGTTAGGATTTTCACATGGTATATGAACTGTGGGAAAACTATATATGTTGTTCAAAGAAAATAGAAGCAAGTGGCACTTCACTGTCTTGTAGAATGAAGCCAAGCATCTTTCCTTGCCTCTGATTTCAGATGCAAATGAAATTGGCCTAAACATTTTCTAAATAACAAGATCCAAACACATTACCCTGGGGACTAAACTGTAATTACACTGCAGGAGAAGCTGGAGCTAAGTGTGTTTAATTCTGACATATGCTGCTCCTCTCATTGCAATTCTGCAGAGAAAGCATTACTCATAGCTAAATTACCTATATTCCTGTACTGTTAGCTACTAACCACCCCATACCTGTTTTATCTATTAACCTATTAACATATTCTATAATTGCATCTGTATAAGTCCTTACGCTTTACTCTTGACTTCTCCCCAGATAAGCTTGTATGAGCTTTGAACTTAGCCTTTGTACAAATACCCTGCTGCTGTAATCCTCATTTGCTATGACTGTGCAATCATTTATCCAAAGTTTTAGTAAGGTCTTTGTCACTCTCTTCTTCTGTACCTCTCTTTCCATATTCTCCTTATTATTTCTTTCACTATTATTGCAGTTAAAGAAAATTTTAATCTTTGTTTGCCTGCTCAGTTTACTGTGGTTCTGCACTTGTTCTCAAGAACAAGTCAGATTTACTGTGCAGTCTGTTTTTCTGCACAATGACATATTAGCAATGTCCACGGTTGCCAGGAAGCCCAGCTACAATAATTTACTTTGCTTTAATCTGTTTATGACTCCACTGCTTCTGTTGTTATATCTACAAACATACAGTTGAAAGCAGAATTTCACTCTCAGGATGCAGTTGATGAACATTAAGCATTGGACAGAGTTTTAACTGCTGTATTTCTTCAATATTCATTACTAATAACTACTGGAATATCAACCATAGGCCAAGGGCATCACTATAATCTTACTTAAAATTATTAATTTAGCACCTCAGTCGGTGTAACAGAAAAGACAAATTATTTTATGGCAGAATAAGTGTAATCTCTTTGATGGGGTGTGCATAAAAACTTTAAAAGGGGAAGTAATGCCACACAGTGCATGAGAAAGTATTTTTACCTTTTTGCCTTTATTAAAGGCCAAAATTGGGAAGAAACTCAGAATTAAAAATATGTATGTCATTTGTACCTTGACATGTTAGGTTCAGAAAATCTAACCAATTTCATATGATTCTGACCTAACTATAATGCTGCCTGTAAATGAAAAAGCCCTCAAAAGGTGTATTTTTTTAACCCCTGAATAAGTACTTTTCCAAAGGAGTTATATAGAAATATTCTTTACCAGCTCGTATGTGGTCTGGATCGTTAGCTAATCATTAGTAATCATTAGTAAGGGTAATATGTAAAGACATAATGTTCTCTTTTCAGTCTTTATTTAGCAGAAAAAAGAATGAAGCAGTATTGGAGCTTCTATGTAGAGTATGTACTACTATAAAAATTTGGATTACGTAGGATTAAATGTAAAAAAAATACAAATATTTTTAAATATGAAGAAGTATAAGAAAAACTAAAGTAACAGCTTGTGATTTTGAAAATACTATATAACCTGATGTCATTTGTTGGAATAGGGTGCATGGCAGACCTATAAACAGTAAACGAAGAGGTGCAGAAGATTTCCTGAGAATGATCCAGCCCAGCCAAATTACGCATCTGCCTGCTTTCAGAGCCTGCAGATGAGAACCCACCCTGCTGGAGGCCACTATTTGTGACACCTGATTTGTGAGTGACTCTCCCTACTGCATGTGAGCAGCAGAGGTGGGACAGACATGGCTAGGGCTATGCCATGACATCCACGGGATATATGGGATATGTGCAGCAGCAGGCATCGTCCACGGCCATTTTCCAGGCTCCTCATTACCGCCCCAGCCACAACAGGATCTGAGAACCTGTATATTTTTCCAGTAGACAAGCAGATTGTAGTTTAAAAGAAATGCAAAGAAAAATGACCAGGTGGCCCAGGGTGTTGTGCACACGATGCAGAAGAGGCCTGAGGTTTCCTAGAAGCTTGTGCAGATCGATTGCACCGGGGAGTCCCAACATGCCCAGGTTTATGGCACAGAAGGCACTTGGAACACTCAGCCTTCACGTGGCACATGTAGCCTTCTCCTGCTAGGAAAAGATAGGAACCTGGCCAATGACACTGGGAGTGAATTCTTTGCATGAATTAGCTAAAAGAAACGCAGTGTGACATGTATTATTTTAAATGACTGTGTGCTAAGCAGGAGAAGAATGTTAGGAATCAGGAATCCAGATTTCTGTGCTTGTAGAAGAGGGAGGAGGATATTTGGCTACACTTCCACCAAGCAACTCAGAAACAGATTTAATGTCCTCAAATGCACCGACACCTTGCTTCTGCTTTTAGAAAGTAGTTCAGATTGCTAAGTTAATTTTCAAAATTCCCCAACGACTTTTATCTTTTAGGTATTAGCTAATCTCAGCTAAAGATACTGAGTTAAGATTTTTACATTACTACATCTAAAAATGTGACTGTACACTGTTCTAGATGCTATTATGTTAAATAGCATCAATACAGCTAAGCCTTTAGGACAAGGCATCAATGACATCCCAGATGTCTGCAGGTAAGAGAAGTGATCTCCCTCTCTCAAAGGGATTTGGTGATTCCCTAGATGACTTTTTCTGTGGCGGGGGCAGCAGCAACAGCAAGAGTTCTGTAATCATCTCTTTCACTTCTCCAAGCTGCACAATCTCCTTGCCAGTAGGAAAAGGACTCCCAGCAGGGCAGACCTCAAGTGACCTAACAACTCTTGTCACTTCCGTGGGGACAAGAGGGAACACCTGCAGTCAGAAGAAAGAAGTTCAGACTGACTCCCCTCACCTCTCCCTTCCCATTGGTCCAGAGGGGATGCACAGGTGACAGCGTCTCAGCTCTGGGAAGCACGAGGTGACAATCAGGTACCAAAAGGCAGGGATATGGACACACATGGCATTACAGACAAGGGAGGCTCTAATAAATCAGGCACCTATTTTTTTTCCCCTTTTTTGCATTTGGTCTCATGAGGTATTATTTCTGTATGCATTCCACAAATAACCATTCCCACTTCTGATTTAAGGAAGTAGTTAAATGAACTGCACTGATATGAATTATGCATTATTTAAATGCAGAGCTTCCATATTACCTACCAGTCTGTAGGCTGCTGTTGCACAATCAGCACTTTCTCCTGATGCAGCCAGCGGTGCTCTCCCAATGTCACTTTGTAATCAGAGCACATAGTATGAAATCTCTCATGCTGTATAAATAGTTGGATTATGAAACAATCCTTCACCGAGATATTTTAACACTTAACCATATGTACTTGCAGACCTGACATCACTTTAACTGCATAACTCATTTCATTCTTAACCCCATACCTGCCTGGAACGCAACCAGGCAAACTTTATATAAACGCTAAATGAACTTTGCATACGTAGGACGATACAAAAAGAACTCATCAAGGAAAGTGTAATTTAAGAAAAAGCATTTTGCATCTTAACACTTCTAAGAAAACAGTAAGAATCCCTTCTGTTACAACTTTATTGCAGGAACAGAAGAAGAAAAAGTAAAAGGACTAACCTGCATACACGAGCATGGTGATGAGAAGAGCAATTAAATGGACTCTGTATTTGGGGTTAACGCTTTCGGCTTGCAGGACGGCCAGCTGGAAAACGACAGAAAAGAGCAGTTCTATGCAGAACGCCTGCATCTCTGTAGTCTGCATGGGGCTGGTGCAGCCCTGTGAGAGTGCTCCAAGATGCGGCTCTGCCATCTCCAGACTCCAGATAAAGTGCATGAACACTCTGGCGAGCACTGCAGCCACGAACTGAGCGGCGATCTTGAGTCCCCCCATCGTGAGCGACGTCCCGCCGCCCCACATGGGCTGCAGGGTCCCGCAGGGATTGCATGTGCTGCCGGCGAGGCTCAGGCCGTGCAGGACGGTGAAGCCGTAGGTGAGGGTGAGGGCGGTGTGCGGCTTCGGCTCCACGTTGCCGAGCAGGCTGAGCTCGTTCGTGCAGGCGCAGATCTGGAAGGTGCTGAACATCTCCACAAGGAAAGCGAAGAGGAGCGGGCGGGAGCGCAGCCGGCGCCGGGCCAGCCTCCGGCACAGCCCCACGGTCACCACCACGCCGGACATCAGCAGCAGGGAGCTCCCGACCCCACGGACGGCCATGCCCGCAGCTGCACAGGCCCGAGGACTCGCGGAAGGTCCAGCCCCACCACCTGCGGGGAGAAAGGAGGCAGGAGAGGGAGGGAAAATGCCCCCGCTTTCCCCTGGAGGTAGGAATCAGCTTCTGTCGGCACCTGCCAGGAGCCTGACTCACCCTCCGCTCGGCGGAGCAAAGGGCAGGGGTGAGGGCAGGGGGATGCCGCTCCCTGCAGGGCACGGGTTAGGACAGGGAAGCTCTCTCCCTGCGGTGGAAAAGCACGGCGAGGGCAGCGGCGGCAAGGGGGCTCTGCTGCCCCCTCAGCCCCTCCGCCGCGGGACGGACCGGGCTCCCCTCTCCCCTCAGCCTGCCAGAGGACCGGGAGCGGAGGGAGGGCCTCGGCTCCCGGCCGCAGGGGAACGGGAGGGGAGCCGATTTTCCCGGCGGGGTCGGCGCTGCGGTGTGTCCGTGGCTGCGGAGCGGTCCCAGCCCCAGCGCCGAGCCGGGCACGGGCTCGGCCGCGCCGCCCCCTCCGGCGGGCGCTGCGCAGCGCGCATGCGGGCGGGGCGCGCGGGGCGCTGAGGGAGCGGCCGGGGCGGGCAGGGGCAGCTCGGCGGGGCCGGGGCCGGCACCGGGCACCGGGCACGGCTGTCCCCGGGGATCGCAGCCCCCGCCCCGCGGTTTGCAGCGAGCTCGAGAGAGAGACTTTGGTTATTTGTTTAGAGTTGCGCAAGCCTGCGTGCTCGGTGTTGTTCAGCAAAAGGAGCACGCCAACTATCAGAACTTTTTTTGCTATTTGTACATTGTATCACACACAGGAATTGCAGAATCACAGAAACAGTTAGGTTAGAAAAGACCTCTAACGTGACATGAAGTCCAGCCTGTGACCGAGCACCACCATGGCAATAGTGAAATCAGACCTCACTGAGTGCCACATCCAGTCTTTGCTTGAACATGTCCAGGAGCAGTGACTCCACCACCTCCCTGGGCAGCCCATTCTAATGTCTAATTACCCCTTCCGGGAAGAAATTCTTCCTAATGTGCAGCCTAAACTTCCCTTGACGCAGCTAAAGCCTGTGCCCTCTCATCCTCTCACTTGTTACCACAGGAGCAGACCGACCCCCGCCTGTTTTCTTTCAGGGAGCTGTAGAGAGACAAGGTGCCCCCTGAATCTCCTCTTCTCCAGACAGCACCTCCAGCGCCCTCACCCACTCCTCAGATTTGTTCACCGACTACAAGCTGCATAGTTCTCTTATTGATTAGTGCTCTATCTGCTATTGGTTAATGATTCTCTCACTTCTCATGCTAGTTAGTCTGCATGCTCAGTGTTTATCTTTTTTGAGTGTTTTTCTTGGGTCAGGGGTGTGTGAGCTGGTGGTCGGGATCTCACCCTGCCAGAATTACCTTTTACCCAGTTGGAGCTGATTCAGCACAGTTGCTGAGTTGTCTTTATTAGTTTCTTCCTTATCTTGTGAGTTCTGCTAAATGTCCTTGTGGCCCGTAAATTCTGTGCTGTGCCCACTATCAGCAGTACATCCTTCTTCCCAAGCTCTCCCTAGGTCTGAGGTCATGGAAACATGTTAAGCTCTAAACCTTTACAAGGCAATTCTACTGACAATTAGTTTGTGTTTCTAACACCCGGACATCACTTAGAGCTTGTTGGCTGCTCTGTTTCATGGATAAAACCTCCTTTATTGTTGATCAGGCTTGAAATATACAAAGATCAAACCTTGAAGAACATCCTTTCTTAAGAAAAATTTTACGTTTACCACATTTTGTAATGAGAGGGGTTTCTTTCCTGTATTTTTGGGAACCTGGTGGTGGAAAAAGCAGGTGCACAGATTGATTCAGCTTCTTCCTCCCACTTGCTTGCTGGGAGAAGGGTGTTTGACAGAGTGCCCGGAGGAAGCAGGTGCTGATTCTCGGGCTTCTCTGGTGGAAGCAGTGCTAAAAATAGGCATCAGCCTCATTCTGCTGAATGTGGTAATGTTGGCATTCATAGCAGGGCCCAAATGGCATCAGGACCATCCTGGAAAAATAGGCATGGGCTCCTTTAGGATAATTCTTTGGGCCTGTAACTGAGAAGGATGAGCCCAGCGTGAGGTAACTGGGAAATGCTTCCTGTCCTGTTAGGCTGGGGCTGAGTTTTCCTTCAGTCTCTCCCTGCAGTGCTATTTTATAGTATTTGGAATGGGTTGTAGCTCTTGCCAGAGTGTTTTTCTGGTGGGAAAAGAGAAAAAAATGCCCAAACTCTGAGCACATGAATGGTTGTGCCATGTGTCATTGGTTATACTGATTTAGTTTTCGCCCTAATAAAACAAAAATAAATTTATTTCGTGGTGCCTCTTCCTACTTTTTCTCCTCTCTTTTACAGACTGGTGATGTGTTTTTATGAGTGTCCAAATACTGGTTTTATGAACTCTAAAACTGAAGCGCTGCAAGCAGCAGTAGCCACTGTGCTGCTAATTCAATGCACCTGCAAGGAGGGGCAAATGCTGGACGTTTTTCCAGAATTCCAGTGTCCAGTAGTTTCGCCACAAGGTGGCGTCAATGACAGTGAATCAGACCTCACAGGAATGACTTTAGCCCGATCAGGGTCTGCAAGGAGGCAATACACAAATCTATTACTTCCAAGCAACAACAGCCAGCTTTCAGTTGAAGGTCAACCTACCCAAAAGATCAAAGTTGAAACATACATAATTGTTTCTCTAAAAGGGAGTGACATGACAAGCTCTTCCGCATTTCCAGAAATGTAGGACCATTGAGACATCTGGGCTTAAGAAGTCTGGTGATTAAAGAGTATTTGGAAGATGCATTTGGCCTTGAGAAATACGGTTGTTTTTAACAGGAGAGGAGAAACACAGCAGTTGAACAGTGATGATATAAAGAGGGGAAAGGAGAAAATGACAGAGCAGTTAGTATTTGGCTTTTACTGTTTGTACAGGATTAGATGTCAAAAAAACCTGAGTGAAGCAAGGCAGGAGACATGACTGTGTTAAGTCATTACATAAATCTCAAAACACCTCCATGAAAACTATGCATGAAACAATTGTTTTTCCCAGCAATGATGTTTTGTAGATGTGATGTGGAAGAAAAAAACCCTGGTCTCTTTCAGAGCCCTGGACAGTTATTTGTGCACACGGCCAGTCATGAATTTGTCATTTTTAAACAGACAAATAAGATGTCTGATTTAACAGCACGGTCTCGAGGTGGATTAGTGGAGTGTGGATTGGAATTTATTGTATCTTTTAGTTATCTGTACAGCCAGCTGTGAATATTTTACTTCCTGGTGTACATATAACTATATTTTTTGACCACCAGAGGGTAGTACCATTCCAAAGAATTTCTTTTGGTGTGCTCCTGTAGGAGCTTTATTTTGTATTTTGCCACAAGGAGATGAGAATAGTAGATCTCCTATGTATAAGTTCAAGCCCTTAATTTTGTCATTTGTAAAAATGAGTGTTCAAGCCTGAAATGTCTCTTAAATTTCACTTTACAACATAGAGTTTTTTGGTACTGAATTAGTTAGGCTCATCAGTTTCTTCTTCTTGGTGGCATTGGTGGCTCTGTCTCATTCCAGGTTGTCTTTGTGTAGGCTCTTTCCTCCCTGAACAGAATTCACTCACAGTCCTGCCTGCTCTATACCAGGACATATATAATTTCCCTTTTGTCTGATTTGTCCCATTTTCTTTTCTCCTCATTTCAGAATCCCTCCACATCCTTTTCTCCCATGTTCCCTTCCATGCAAATCAGTCTTTGTATTTTCCTTCCTATTTGTTTGTATTCCTACTTTCCTTCTTTGCCCAAGCCCTTGTATTTCCTGCTTTTTCTGTATGCAGTTAACTGCTCTTAGCTGTGTGTATGGTTTCAGCCCCTTTCCTTCCTAAAATTCCCTCATCTACTTCCTTTTTCTATAGCAGGCTGAGTCATTTGGAAGGTATCAACATGCCAAGAATTCTTGGATGGGTTTTGCAGGGGTAAAATTGGGCATTATCATGCTGGAAAATGCATCCATCCACATTAATGTTAATGAATAATTGCAGAGGAGCTGAATCTGTAGTTCAGGTAAGAATATAGCAGGGAATCTGTGTGCCCTGTTTTCTCTGTTGTGGTTCAGCTGGTTTCCCCCAAAATTAGTCTGACATTTAAAGGTGCATTGGAAATACAGAAAGTAAAAGTAGCCTTAGTGCCTCCAAACAGAAAATCCTTGTTGAGCAGGCCCTGGCAAGCTCAGGCACAGCTTCAACACAGCTTTTCTTAGCAAGCAGCTGTGGAGGTTTGGGACATTTCCCCTTTCTGGCTACATTTCACAGCAGTTGGATGCCAGAGGCAGGATTTGCACCAGAGGGCAGCTCTGGTGTGCAGAGAGGGATCCAGGTGCATGGGCAGTAGAGAAGAGCCAGGGATCACAGCAGCTCAGTGCACAGGATTCTGAGCTCTTAGACAATACACCTGAAAGCCTTTGATTTCAGGGCAAGAAATGCCACTGCCTGTGAGGGCTCTTGCCACGAGGACTTGTTGAGGGCATTGGCACAGATGAAAGTGTGGAAATTGTAGAGACTCTTTAAAGCTCCAGCAAATTAAACAGCGCCAGGAATGCTCCTGAGCACGGAACTCAGCTGTTTCTACTGATTCTCATAATCCTTACATGGTTTTAGCCTGGGCCAATGAGCAGTATCCCAAAATATTCCAGGGTGTGGGTTAGGGGATACATTACAAATAGGCAGACTGTTCTTTCACTGACTTTCTGAGGCTTTCATAGACTGGACATTGGATGCCCTGTGCCAGCTGGCCTCGGGCAGAGACTGGTCCCAGACTTGTTTAATTTACTAATGTGAGTATAATCACAGTAACCAGGGCTGGCCACTGGAGTGAAAATCTGTTTTTGCAAACCCTGTTTGGTTTAGACTCCAGAAACTGAAGGGACCTTGCTTCCATCTGTTCCCCTACTCTGCCTCCAAAGGTTACTGCCTCGTACAAAAGGACCAGAAGGTTTATTTGCTCTTCAGTCATGACTGGCCACCTTGCACCTCTAGCACTGTGTTAGTAGACCACTGGTTTTTGTTTTCTGATTGTGCTGTTGGCTTTGATAGGAAGGACATTTTTTTTCCCCTGTAAGTGTAACAAGCAGTGCTATTTTATGAGGTGAATCATGGACAAAGGAAATCTCTAAAATATCTGATGTTCCTAATCTCTGAGGTAACAAGACATATACAAATTAATGTAGATAAAATCACTGCTTGGGAATGTCCTGACTCATATGCAGGACCTTGAACTTGGCTCTGTTGAACTTCGTGAGATTTGCAAGGGCCCACTAAATCCACTCTAATCAAAAAGGATAAAAGTTAAAAAAGCTAAAGGCAGAGAAGAAGCTTCACATTTTTTAGAAGCTCTTGTTTTCCATGGCCATTTCTATTTTTTTTTGTTTGTTTGTTTTTCCAACCCCTCTTCTGGATTATGTAATACAAAATAATCCTTAGTTTTGCCTTTTCTGAAGTATTGCTGTTAGCTGCCATAGCCCATTCATGATAGTGAAGTGACATTTGTGATAAAAATTGCAGAGAGTGCAGTCCTTCATTTTCTTTTCCCATCGTGTTGCTTTTCATCTGTTTGAAGCTTGTTCCAGAATCAAACTG